TTCGGTTTACTTCCTCCCCTCTCCCTCTTCATGTCCGTTAGCCCCTCATTCGCACAAGAGGCGTCCCTCTTTGCAATCACTGTTTTCAACTGCGGGGGGGGTCGCTTTTCAAACTACTCCGTTTTATTCAGAAGTCACGTTCATTGTCGGTCAGTTTCTTTGACCATGCTCAGTTTTATGCCATTCCGCTCGATCTCCGGCGCTTGTCCCAGTCAGTCCAGCTTATGCCCGAAGGCCACTCAGCGACTGGACCGTCAGGGCGGAGGGGAGCCTCAATTCTCTGACATTACGCCATCGAAGAGGCTACCCCTCAAAAGCCCCCTGGCCTGGAGCCTATCACAAAGGCTCCACAGGGGTGTCACTTGAGGTGGCACCCCTCCAGGCCGCCAGTGTGTGAACCGCCCTTGAGTACATGAGTGCCACAAACACATAGTCTTTTTGCTCACAAGACTACACAACTTGGAGCATTGATGGGTGTCACAGAAAACCAAAAGAATCAAATGTGGCTCCTGAGCAACTGAATGAGTATCACTGACTTAGCCAATCTGACCACACTGATCCATGCTAATTATCATTACTACATGGATCTACCCTTAAACAGAAATTTCAATTAAGGCAAAATACATCTACTCATTTATTGTCTAGGGTCAGCCATTAACACTGCACTACATCAGTTCTAAAGCAAATTCATTTGTTGCCTGTTTGTTTCCAGGCTCAACTAAAGGTGCTTGTTTTTTTCCTTATAGGGCCTTCATATCCTGGACCATGCGTCTGAATGGCTGTCTCTATTGTGCCAACTGCATTCAGTGAACCAGCTTCTGTTTGCAATCTCCCCCCCTCCCCCCGTTCCCCTTGGTTCGAGCCTGTGATTTCTTGGCTGTGACACCAACTCTGCACAGGAGACTTCTAGAGGTGGTAAGGAAAGCATTCTTATTGCACCTCTTCCTAAAACTCATCAAAGTTGCTTTTCTTTGGTAGAGTTCTTTTATTTACTTATTGATGGAGAGACTATGGTTTTATAATCTGGGGTTGGTCAATCACTGTTCATATTGTTACTTGTCTGAAGCTATGTTGCTGCTCTCTCTTGGGCTATGGATGACACAAGCCTTTCAGAAGAAAAGCAGGGAGAAATGTTTTAAAACAAATAAACAGTTTTTCACCCTACAACATATTCTCCCAGATGCTTATTTAAGGTAAGAGCTTTTGTGTGCATGCACACTTTTTCAAATACATTGGAATGGAAGGCAAGAGTTCAAACTTATAGACAGAGGATGAACAGCAAATTAACATGTAACATGATGATGTTTTAAGATCTTCATCATGTTACATGTTAATTTGCTGTTCAGCCTCTGACTAGAAGTTTGAACTCTTGCCTTCCATTCCAATGTATTTGGAAAAGTGTGCATGCACACGAAAGCTCTTACCTTGAATAAACCGTTGTTGGTCTTAAAAGTGCCATTGGACTTTAAATTTGTCTACAGCTTTAAACCAACAGGGCTGCCCACCTGGAACTATCTCCCAGATGCTGTTACTTTTAAGTAGCCCACAATGCATCCTGTATTACTGCAAAAGGATCATCTGTAGAGCAAATGACAGGGTGGAGGCTAGGATGGATTGTGGCTCAGGGGAAGAGCATCTGCTTTGTATGTGGAAGGTCTCAAGATCAGTCCCCAGAGATCCAGGTGGCAGCAGTTGATGTCAAACATCTCTAGCTGGACCCTTAAGAGCCACTGCCAAGACAGACAATGCTGATATTGACAGACCAGCTGCTTGAGTCAGTGAAAAACAGCTTCTTGTGCTCAATGTAAGTTAGGGTCAAGCAAAATCTATGCAGCTGTTTGCCTCCCTATTCACCCTCAGAACTTCACAACTTAGTACTCTAGAACTGTACTCTTCACATGCAAAGCCAACACTTGTCCACCAGCTGAGCATGGCCAATTTGATGAAAGTCCAATGAAGTCACTTGCTTTCAAAACTGGATGAAAGAAAAGGGAAGGGGAAACCTTTTCGTCTCCTTCTACCATAAATACGCTGGGAAAGTAGTTCAACTGGGGCAGCCCTGCCGTACTTGGGCGGAGCCAAAGCGCACATTGCTAACCAGGACGGCCGCTGCGCTGGAGAAAGGGTTCGATCCCCGGCGCGCGCCCGCAATACCGGGTCCTTTCCTTCTGAACTAACCTCAATGGGTTCCAAGGTGCATCTTCCTTTCCCACAACCAAACCCCGCCCTCCCGTAACCAAGCTCCGCCCCCGTCGCCATGGCACCGCGGCCCCTCACCAGATGTGTGGCGGCTCCTGCAGGCGATAGAAGCGGGTAGCGAAGCTTAGGAAAGTGACCAGGCCCAGCTGGGTCCAGAACCACACAGAACTCCGGGGTACGGAGGAAGCCGACGCGGGGCTACTTGCCAGCCTGAGGGTTCTCCGTTGCTGCAGGCCCAACACGGCCTGGCAGGTTTTGTTCACTGCCAGAGGCATTCGCGCCCTGACAGGAGGCGCCTCCTGCCGGCACCCCTGAATTTGCGCCCAAAGCACTATGGGAGGTAGAGTTCAGAAGGCATGATGGGAAAAAGAGTTCAGCATTTCGGAGCACGTGAACGACCAAGAGGGGGCGAATTAAGGGCTTTCATGGTATTGTGGGTAGTGTAGTTTTTAAGGCGTTGTCGTGCGCTCATGAAAGGAATGGAATAGCGAGGAGCATCTCTCCTATCATTGCTACAGTCGCCGAAAACTGACTGTTGCAATATCTCTGCTCTCTACACGCGCCTATGCGCATTATGGGGGAGATACATGCTATATATTTATTTAGAACGCAAGAACATTATTTATGACGATGATGATGCGCTATCCCAGCTCACACCGGGCTCTGGGCAATGTACAAAAGGGCAAAATGCCATAAAATATATAAAATATTAAAATTCGATTACTTTCCCGCCGAAGCGGTAGCTATTTATCTACTTGCAATTTCTTGCTTTCAAACTGCTAGGTTGGCAGGAGGTGGGACCAAAGACGGGAGCTCACTCCGTCACTCGAACTGCCAAACTACCAACTTTCCAGTCTGCAACTAAAGCGTCTTAACCACTGAGCCACGGTGGCCCCTTAAAATTCAATATACAACTTAATAAAAATTTAAATTCAGAATAAAAGATCCAAAACGGCATCCTATAATGTTTTTTTATCCAATACTGGACTACTGGGCAATTTTCTGGGCAAAGGAAACTCAGAACAAAAGGGGGGGAGAGGATGGGTGCCAGCCAATGAGGAAACCGTGGCTGCCCTCAATCAAAAGCCTGGCAGAACATCTCTGTCTTACAGGCCCTGAGGAATTGCATAAGATCCCGCAAGGCCTTGATGTCATTTGGCAGAGAGTTCCACCAGGTCGGGGCCAGGACCGAGAGGGCATAAATACAGCCTACTGGATCACTCCATCTAGTCCAATATACAGCCACCAATTAGCTTCCCTGGCGGGCCAAACAAGCAGAACATAGAGACTAAAGCCCCCCCCCTTGCTGCTGCTGCTGCTTCCCCCCAGGACTGGTGTTCGGAGGTTTGCTGTCTTCAGTCATTGTGGCTAGTAGCTAGCCTGTGATAGACCTCTCCTCCTAAATCTTTCTAATACCCTTTTAAAGCTATATATGCTTGTGGCCATGGTTGCCCCCAATGGCAGTGAATTCCACAACTGAATTACTTGTTGAGTAAAGAAATATTTCTTTTTGTCTGTCCTGAACCTTTCCCCCCAATAATTTGGTCCCCAAGGTCTACTATTATGGGAGAGGGAGGGAGACAAACCTACTTCTACCCACTTTCTCCTCTAAGCTTACTCAGAAGCCTTTGATGAGGTTACTTGTCAAAAGCTGCTCAAATAACTAGAAGAGGTTTTGTGAGGCAGGATTTCCCTTTGCAGGATTTGGTATGCTTAATAATTTGTCTCTCTGAGAGACTGATGAACTTCTTCCCTTTTCCTTTCATTGCAGCACTTCGAATCTCTTCATCTGATGTGACTAAAGTCAGAGGAGGCCACCTGCTCTCTTCTTGGCTGCTCTGAGGGGAGGTGCCTGGCCCCACAGAAGATGTGCACAGATCACCTATTGTGATTTTTCCAAGTGACCATAATGCTGGCTTTTGATTACCAAGCTGTGAAATGGTGACCAGTGACTGCCACCCTTGAAACACTTTTGTTAGAGTTTCTTCATAAAGAAGGAGAACATTGTATAAACTTTGTGCAAAGACCAGAATTTCTAACTTTTAAAGGCTCATGCCCAAACAAATCTGTCTGAAGAAAATTATTTCAGTCATTTAAAATTTTCAAGTAGACACACACACACCTGTTTTACAGCAAGGAGCAAAGCTTGCTCACTTTAGGAACCTGATCTGGCTGCTAAACAGAAAAGAAAGATGAGACAGCGAAAAATAAATAACCCTGAGAAGTTTCATAATTTATGGTATTGCAATGGGCCTCTCTGTTTTACACCCAGATCATGAAACAGAAGTGAGCTGATGTCTTTATCAAACTAGCATCATAGTGATGGGAGATGTGAATACAAACTCCAAGAAGATGGGATCTCTCCGGCACAGGCAGGCAAACTGCCAAGACTTCTTATGCTTGCCAATGCATGAGTGAGAACTGGAAAACCACTTCTCCAGAGTCTTTTATAATCTGGTTTGAATAAAGCAGTCTTCAATGTCATCCAGCTTTTTTTCCTGACTAGAATCTCTTGTACAGTGTTCTCTAAATTTTGCTTTAAATTTTAAATTGTTATTTGCCACTGTGATCCCGAGAAAAAAGCAAGTTGGATAGCCAACTAGTTGAAAGGTTCTACTTTACAACGTAATTTTCAGTCTTGATGTATCTGCTTGATACCATCACAACTTAACTGAGAAAAATGTTGAGAAAACAGCTACAACTACAACTCCCAGAATCCCGTCAACTCTAGGAAAGACGTCTACTTTCAATACGACCAAGTCTCTGTTCAAGACTGGCCCCGTTAAAAGGACCGGAATAGAGCAGTGCCGAGCGAGCCATAAAAGTGCCGTTTAGCTAGAGAGGGAGGGACTGACTGAAGGGAAGAGAGCAAGTCAAGATGTGTGCCGCGTTAGTAAAGGTATTTGCCATGACTGCCCAACGCGGACGGAAAGCTTTCTCTGGTGCAGCTGTAGATATAAAAGCAAGACGCGATTTCGCTTTTGTTATCTTTGTAAATATTTGCTCTCTATAGCTTGTCGCTAATATGAACGATGAATTAATTGTACTTAAGCTTCACGGATCAGAGCTGTTCCCCTGCAAGGTATGCGGGAGGGATAGTGCCGGGAAAAGCCATTTTCACATTCTGATTTTATACTGTTGAAATAAATACTTCCCAACTGCCTTGCTCTCCATTACTGACAAAAGGGGCACTCCCAATCAAACCTATTTGGAAGTAAATCGCATTGAGTAGAGTAGGGCTTACTCCGAGGCAAGTGTGCGGAGGAATGCAGCCACAGATTGGAACTCTTGTATTTACAATGTGTGTAACTGTCACAGTGGTATCCCACCAGTTTGCTAAGATCAAAAGCTTTTTAAAAAGTTCTTTTACCATTGCAATCTGCAGCATGTCTACTCAGAAACAAGTACTTGTTATTCAGTGTGATCAACTGCCAGGAAAGTTATTTAGGAGTGCAGCCAGAATAGACAAATGTATGTTTCCAAAGAGTAATTTAAAAATCGGGTAATGGTGCTTTGAAGAGTCACGTATGGCTCCCTATCCACTACATATCACTAGATCTGGGAGGTAAAGGTAAAGGTTTCCCTTGCTTGAAAGCTAGTCAAATCCAACGCTAGGATTCATCTCCGTTTCCAAGCCGAAGAACCAACGCTGTCCAAAGACATCTCCGTGGTCATGTGGCCGGCATGACTAGATGCCAAGGCGCACAGAATGCTGTTACCTTCCCACTGAAGCAGTACCTCCTGCAATTTCTTGCTTTCAAACTGCTAGGTTGGCAGGAGCTGGGGCCAGAGACAGGAGCTCACTCCATCACGCAGCACTAGGTCTTGAATTGCTGAACTACAGACCTTCCAGTCTGCAGCTCAGTGTCTTAACCTCTGAGCCACCACAGCCCCTAGATTTGAGAGACCCAGGTTCAAATCCCAACTCTGCCATGGAAGCTTACTGGGTGACCTTGGGCCAGTCACACACTCAGCCTAACGTACCCCACAAGGTTGCTGTGTGATAAAATGGAGAGAATACTGTAAACTGCTTTGGGTTCCTGTTCAGGAGAAAGGAAATGTGCACGTGAAGTAAATGAAAAGGTTTCTGACTTGGGCTGCTGGAAGTGATTAAGTGCAGTCAAGTGACATCTGATTTATGGCAAGCCTGGAGGGTTTTTCAGGCAAGAGATGTTCAGAGGCGGTTTGCCATTGCCCGCCTCTGTGTAGCAACCCTGGACTTCCTTGGCGGTCTCCCATTCAAGTACTAACCAGGGCTGACCCTGCTTAGCTTCCAAGATCAGGCTAGCCTGGGCCATCCAGGACAGGGTAGGGATCAAGGGACAAAATTACAGGGTCCCTTGCCATGCTAGTGGTGTAGGGAGCTGGGCAAGGCATGTGACTTGCTTGAGTGGCATGGTAAGTGGGCTCAAAGGGGAATCTTTGCTGGCCCAGTGGTGGCTCTCTGGAGCCCTTCTGGCCTTTCAGAAGTCTGACAATTGTTTCTCGCTGTCCTTTCTCCACCTTGTGTTGCCACTTAGATGGCTTTTTGAGGTTTTTTAAAAAATTGGTAATTACTATGGTGATGCTTACAAAAAAGACCGTTACCACATATGGAATGAGAAATGCCAGATGTTCAAGCTGGATTCAGAAAATGAAGAAGCACTAGAGATCATATTGCAAAATTTATATTGGTTACTGGAACATACCAGAGAACTTCAGAAGAAAATCAACTTGTGTTTCATAGATTACAGCAAAGCTTTGACTGTGTGGGTCATGAAAAGCTATGGTTGGTTTTAAAAGAAACTGTGGATTGGGAGTCAAGTGGGATATACATATTTTTAAACATGTTCTGGGTGGCACAGGACCTAGAGAAGGCTGTTGCTTGTTGACAGATGCCTCAAGCACTGTGAGCCAGGGGTTGTGGTATACATTTTGCAAATAGTTAAACTACGCAGGGTCTCTGTCTGGTGGGAAGCTTCATGGCCCTCCCAACCCCTTTTCCTACTGTTTCTTCTGCTTCCCACATCTCTTCTTGGTCTCTATCCTGTCAAAATATTCTGAGTCTAGCAGCAGCCCAGATCTTGCAACTGAACTAATCTCTGTTATGTGAGGCATTTAATAACGCTGGCAAAGCTTGCTGCTTTTGCAGTACAAAGTTCTGTATTTCTTTTGTACACAATTCACTTGGCTTTTGCCTTCTTTGGCATCTGGGCTGAAGAGGTCAGAAACTGTCAAAGTTTTCTTGCTGTTCTCTGCCATTTGACAGCTAAGGGGTGGGGCTTTTGCAACTACTTGGCTGCATAAGTTTTTCCCCGCTTCCCCAGTCTGTGTTGGGTTTCACAGGAGGATACTACATGAACAAACAGTATGGAAGCTTCTAAAAAGGTGAGACAAAGAAGGTTCAGGGTGTCTGGGGAGCTGCCTTGTTATCTCATTGCAGAGTATCTCTTCCCATTCACTTTCACAGTACCCATCTGGAGCATTTGCTCCAGTTCTCATAGGAAGCATGTTTTTTTCATAGCCTGGCATTTCTGAGAGGAACTTCCCACCAATTTCAGTGGAAGCTGAAAATAAAAAAGGTGGGGAACGCCACTATTTCAAAACAGGGATATGTGAGGCCAGTCTTGCCTAAATTGTACTTTTCTAGAAGTGAATCCATTACAATTTTAATGAAATAACATGAAACGCAGCCCCTATTCTGTGTTAGGCTTCTATGGTGGCTTAGGCTGCTGTTAGAGTGGAGAGGAGGGAAAGTCCTGTTTTTTTAATAGAGACTTAATCTCTTATTTTACCAGGTGACGTTATTTACCTCCTGCCAAAAAGCTTCAGATGCCCATTGCCACACGTTAAAAGGAGCAGGACATTTTTTTTTCCAGGCCTGTTGGTAGCCCTCGTTACCAATCCCCCTTGCATAAAATGGGGTTTTAGTTCTGAGTAGAATTGTTCTGTTAAACTTTCATGGGCTACAACCCATATCATCAGTTGTAAGTTAAGTATGTTGCCTCCACTTTATACTTGTGTGTTAATGAAGCTGCTACAGTTGCAAATTAATGTCTACTTGCAAATTTTTCCCCTATACTTCTGCAGCCTGTTCTTTATAGTTATTTCAGAAGTTCCTGCTCCTGGAGAGTACGAATTGGTAAGAACAGTTATTAAATCCTATCCCATGCTTTTCAGATTTGCTTGCCAAAATTCAGTTAATCAGTGACTTATTAAGTCAGAGATCAGCAAAAGATTAGCCACTTTGGGGGGGTTGAAGTGTTTTCTGTTTCCTTGCTGGACGGAGAAAAAATATCAGAGTTCGTCTGAGAGGGAGGAAGAAATCTCCTGGTTACGGCTATTTCACACATTACCAAATGGGAGTATCATGGAAGTTGTATTTAGGTTATCACATGTGGTAGTCACGCTCTTCATGTGCATGTAAGGGAGGGAGCAGCTGACTGTAGCCTATGTATGCCATATGTAAAACCATATGCACAAGCTGTATGTCAGTTCCAGTGCAGAATTTAAAAAGTGAAATTGCCCTCAAGAGTTGCAGGGAAATTTCATGATACAGACCAAGCTCACTCCTATATTGTAATATATATAGATATAATTGATGTTCTGAAATCATTCTGCATTCTTAAGGGCATTTACGTGGCTATTCACTTTTTGTGTTTGGTTGTTCCTTCTATTCCAGATCTGGAATTAATTAAGAGACACAAAAATAGCACAATCCAGATGTATGCTTTCACTACATTCTTTAAAGGCATTGTAAAAATGCATTAGAAGGAAAAATGTATTAGAAGCAAACTGGGAAACTTGTATCACTCAAATAGGTGAGGCTTGCCCTGAGTACCTAAGAAGCAGGATCAGACCAGTGGCCCAGGTAATTCAGCATTCTATTTCACACACAGTGATCAACCAGTTTCCCTGGATGGCCAATAAACAAAGCACAAAGGCTGAGGCCTTCTACTGATTTTGCTTCCTGGCACCAGTACTCAGAGGTTTTCTGCTTCTGAATGTGGAGGTTCCTTGTAGTAACCATGGCTAATAGCCACTGATGGACCTCTTTTCCATGAATGTCTAACCCCTATTAAAGCCATCTATGTTCTCATGGCCATTGGTCAGTCCACTGATAGTGAATGCTGCAATTTAATTACTCAGTGAGTAAACAAATACTTCCTTTTGTCTGTTGTGAATCTATTTCTCATCAACTTCAGTGGGTGTCCATTATAGTACTGGTGATGAGGGGGAAAAGTTCTATCCAGTTGTAGAATATGTACCATGGCAAGTTACTTATCAGGATTTGTGTTGTCCTTTTCTTACAGCATTGGCTTTGAAAGGAATTGCCTATGATCAAGCACCAGTGAATCTTGTGAAGGATGGAGGGCAGCAGGTAAGGAGATAGCTGTGTTCAATCTGTACATCAGGCATGATCAGAAGCCATAACAAAAATTAGCAATTTTCTCTTTCAAGACAGATCCCATTTCCCTGTGAGCTCTCTATCTGTGACAGATGCTTTTTAAACAGTCAGACTCAAAGGCAAATTCTCTTTAACTTCTGTAAGGTTTCCAGTTCTTAAAGGGAAAGAAAAATAGTTGGTTCCCTCCAATGCTGCCTAAAGTAACAGCCTGACTTTCCCAACCTTTTCTGTAAAGTTTTTGTCCCACTTTGAATGTTAATGTAGTAGAAAAGAGTAAAAGTCCAGTAGCACCTTAAAGACTAACAGTATTTGTGGTAGGGTATGAGCTTTCATGAGTATGAGCTCACTTCTTCAGATATCCATCTTGATCTGTCTAAGGCTGTGGTCACACTGGCAGCTTTGGCGCAATATGGTGCCACCTCTAATTGTAACAGTTTAAAGTCTTGCGGGGCATATCTTCCAGACAGCACACCCTGCTGTGGGTTACCCATGCAAACATCCTGTGGTCAAGTATCCACATTACTGCAGCGCATCAGCCACAGAGTGCGCTGCCTGGAAATGTTTCAAAATGCATGAACGTGCATGTGCACTCATGCACGCGCATAAGTGTGCATGTGCACTCATGCACGCGCATAAGTGTGCATGTGCACTCATGCACGCGCATAAGTGTGCATGTGCACTCATGCACGCGCATAAGTGTGCATGTGCACGCAGGTTCAGGCTGCCAAATCCATTCTGCATGTGCTCCTCATGTTGAGATATCCGGCCATGTGCAATGAATGTGTGAGGAACCAGAAATACCACTTGTGATGTGGTGCCTTTTTAACCCAGCTCCAAGTCATCCTATGATGGTGTGAGTATGCCTGGGGAACACCTGACAGATGTGGCTGTGTAACTGTGCCCATTTGATCCAGAGGGGAGGGGTGGCTGTGTCGGGCCAAACAGCCTAAATGTTAATGGTTAGTGCTGGAAATTAAAGGAACTTCTCTGTCTAGTACCTTAAAGTGTGCTGGAGACCCACACAGTGTGTGCCTTTCCTTGTTTTTCTTTTTTTGATCTCCACAACCCTCACTTTAAAAACAAGAATGAGACTTTCCTTTATGTTGCATTGGGAATGTTTGGATAATGGTTGCTTTGATTTGAGGAGGCTTGCTCCTTTGGACAAAGGCTTAGAAACTATATTCTTAATCAAGAAAAGGCACAAAGGTTGCCATGAATTAACAGATAGTGAGGGAAGATGTTGTTAGAGTTAGTTCTTCCCCATTCTCTGTTTTGGGGTTGGGGGCAAGCTAGAGAGACTATGCTGAACTGAAATCAGGAGGCTGCAGGGCAAACATTCTTCCCAGATCCTCTGCATGTGGAGAGAATATTTCAGAAGGTGGCTTCCATCTTTGAACACCAACACCCTTGATTCTGCAGCTCAGAAAAAAATACTCTTCTGAGGATTAGAAGCAGGGTATAATTTTTTAATTAAGGAAATATGGGGGAATTTAGGAAAATTCCAGATCTGCAGTGCAATCCTAAGCAGAAGTACACATTTTATGCCCACTGAAATCAATGGGGTAACTCGTCTGTTTAGGACTGCAATACATGTAAGAAACTGTCCTGTTTTCACAGCTGTCACCTGAATTCTTTTCTGTGAATCCAATGCGACAAGTCCCGGCACTCAAAATCGATGGGGTCACCCTCTCTCAGTCAGTGAGTAAGCAATTTGTATTAATTATTTACTTGATGCCATCGTCCAGAATAAGTACTTTGTACCCTCTTTAAGGGTATAACTTATTCAGTATCAGATGGGATCTGTTGAAAGGGAAACCATCTTCAGTAGGATAGGATCATCCAGGAACACTGAACAAGAATTTTTGTGTGTGGTGATCCCACCCTGATTCAGTTTGAAAATTTAATAGTTTGTGGTTTTAAGGTCCCACCAAGGTTTTCCATAGTGACAGACCATTACTTTATGCAGTGAACCCTAACCCCATTGACAACATTTGCTCAGCTTATACCATGATCTGGAATCTTCAGCCTTGATTCTTTGCTGTACCCCAGAGAAGCACTTTCCCCTACACAGTTTGGTGTAGTGGTTAAGTGCGAGGACTCTAATCTGGGAGAACCGGGTTTGATTCCCCACTCCTCCACTTGCACCTGCTGGATGACCTTGGGCAAGCCATAGTTCTGACGAGAGCTGTCCTTGAAAAAGAGCTGTTTCTGTCAGAGCTCTCTCAGCCCCACCTACCTCACAGGGTGTCTGTTGTGGGGTGGGGAAGGGAAAGGAGTTTGTAAGCCGCTCTGAGACTCCTTTGGGTAGTGAAGGGCAGGGTATAAATCCAATCTCCTCTTCTTTATCATGTCAGTCTTACCTAATTCCTCTGTTTATTTCAGCTGGCCATAATAGAGTATCTGGAGGAGACACGGCCAAACCCTAGGATCCTACCTCAGGATCCTAAGAAGAGAGCTCAAGTCCGGATAATCTCTGATGTCATTGCTTCTGGAATTCAACCATTACAGGTACTGCTTTTTGCCAGGGCATCTACTGTAGCATTGTCTCATCTACGGTCACTGCTGACACCAAGTCCAAGGGGAGATGGAAGTTCCTTTCCAGGGTAGAAAAAGTTACTTTATGACCCCATCCCTTTATTATTATTTGAATACTGCTACCCAGTACCTCCAGACTCCTTCGTTCTCATTTGTTATAGCTTTAGAAAATGAAGAGCACAGGATCTTGGGGAAAACTGTGAAGCTAAAAATATGGCTTTGAGAAAAGACTTTGTCAGCTACTCCTGTTTGAAATCTTGTCTCTGTTCTCCTGTCCCTAGTGCTGTGGAGTTACCTGACATGCCAAAGGGCACTAATCTAAGAGGACCTAGTAAATGCTAATTGCAAGGCTGCTCTGTATGCAAAACAGCAGAATTATAGAAGGATGACCCAGATCAAGTCTAAGCCCAGGTACAGAACCATATATGGCTGGGCACGTTTCAGAATGTTTTAAGGTGTTTGATGGTGTCATCATTGCCCCAGGTGTGAATACTCATCCTGTCGTCTCTGGACAACAAGAACTTGCAGGCTTTGCAACATTTCAAATCTCTGTTAGACAAGACAGTGCAGGGATAGGCAACTGGGAGTGCAAGGGCCAAATACCTCTCCCCAGAGTATTTCAATCTAGCCCAAGCATAGTCCCTGAACCCAAAGACTCCATCTGCATGTACCTGCCACCGTGCACCTCAGCCACTTTCTGTGTAGAAGACAAAGTGCCTTTGCGTCATGGGTTGTGTGGGCCAGTGCTGTTGTCCAATCAGACAGTGCTGGATTAAAAATCTAGCTACCATTGAAAAGGTAGCTACACTAGCAACAAAGATAACAATGGCTCTCCCTCCCACCCTCTCAAACTCTTTTAAAAACAGTACTGCCTATGTGTAGCCACAGTTAATTTCTAAGCTGTGAGGCAATCTAACCTTAAGACTCCTGTATTTTTCAGAACCTCTCCATCCTGCAGCAAGTTGGGGATAAGAAGCTGGAATGGGCCCAGCTCTGTATCTCTGGTGGCTTTAAAGGTGAGACCCACAGTGAATTGCAGCTAGATTTAGCTCTCCCAGTAGACTAGGAGGTTATGAGGAAAGTTTTGTCTGGTATGGATCCACAAGGGTTAAGCTGACTCTAAATATTATAAAAATGCAAAATTTATTCAGGTGTACACATTTTAAAACTTAAGACTCATTAAAAATATACCATTCAGACATAAAAAAAAAACTTCTCAATATTCATACATAGATGGGTTAGTGCTGTGCAACGGAACCAAACGCGTTTCGGCCCCTCAAAGGGCCTTCCTCAGTGGTCACAATTCCAATTATAAATTTGACATACATTCAAAAAATTTTTTTCATAAGATGTTACATACATATACAGTACAAGGCCAGATGTTGTTTCCTAAATACTTCTGTATTTGTTTATTATTATTCTATAAGATGGGCCTCCAGTCTAGCCAATTAAAGTCCACCAATAATTCTGGTAGCACAAACTTGCGTGAGTTGAATGTATGTCACTCCATCCTGTACAAATTCTAGTACAAGCTTCAAGCATTTTGGAAGTTCTTTAAGTCCTCCCAAAGAGGGGGAAAGCAGGAAATAAATATTTAAATGAAAATAGAGAGCTGTCATTTGGCAAAGACACACAGCCAATGGAAATCAGTCTTCAGCAAGTTCTCAGAGAATAACCTTAAAAGCACAACTAACCTTTAATGCATAACTACAAAACTAAGCACATGAAGAATTGGCCTTAACAACAGCTGGACCAATCCATACTGGTGCAGACATAGCCTCAGTAACCAAAAGAATTATGTTAGAATTTACTCCCTTTACATTCACATTGGACTGCTGGAAATGAAGCTGAGAAATCCAGCAAACACAAGATTCCTATAGGACTTTGACAAAGGAGAGGAGAGGAAGAGAATGGCAGAAACGTAGCCCTTTCCCCGACCCACTGCTTTCTCCATTTGTATGAGAAATGTAAGTTGTGGGAAAAGGAGAAGGGACATGCAGTGGAAAAGTGACACATGGAAAAATGGTTCAGCACACCCCCTACCACCCCCTTCTGTGAAATTCCGCACACCACATGGCTTTGTCACCATCGGTATGGTACTCTTTTCTGTATCTTAAAAATGCCCGTTGTGATGGTTTTCCCTAGAGGTGCCTCTTCCAGCCCACTTTCTGTTTTTTTTTCTAACACTATGACAAATTCAAAAGCTTCCTGGTATTATTTCACATTTCCTTGTTGATTTTTATTAGAACCCTATAAAGACATATAAAGTTGAAGGCAGCAGAAAAGAGGAAGACCTCACATGAGATGCATTTACTCAATAAAAGGAAGACATGGCCCTTGACTGGCAAGACCTGAGCCAGACTTGGCCACTTCTGCACTGTCATTTTTGTCACTCATTTGTCCCTGTTGCTTCAGGGGTTCTCCCCCCCCAATGCTCTCCCTAGTAGTCCCAGAGGAAGCAAAACACATGTGGAAAAGGGGGGGGGAGACACCCAAAGCAATAGGGACAAACGAGTGAAAAAAATGACAGTGCAGAAGTGGCCACTGTTAATGATAGAATGTCTTGGAGGTCATTAATTCACAGAGTCACCATCAGTTGGAAGCAACGTGATAGCACTGCACACACACAAAGATGCGCAATTCATTCATTAACCTACACAGAACTCTATGCTGAAAGGAGGAGCTGCTGATTTTTAACTATTGTACAACTTTGTTCCTACAGCTTTGGAGCAGATCCTGCAGGAAACATCTGGGCGCTACTGTGTTGGGGATGAGGTAAGACAAGCTGAGATCATTGACACTTCCAATCACTAGTAGAACTACAGACCCGGAATCAGTCAGGTTTGTGTAACTAGACTATCTACCCTGGTTTTCACAGGTAAGGAATGTTTTTCTGTGCAGTATAGTCAGTGCAAAGGTCCAGTAGGCTCAGGCCTGTAGCTACCGGGGGGCATCTTGGGGCTAGGCCCCCTGACTTAATAGCAAGGCCCCACGACTTCCCATCCAGCCCAGGGCCCCTGAGCAGTGGCAGGTGTGAGGAAGGAGCCTTTGATTAGCCAGTGCCCCCTAAGAAATTTAAATGCCCCCGGACTTAATAAATCCTGGCTACAGGCCTGAGTAGGCTGAGATGCATGCTTCCTGTAAAGCCAACAAAATTGGAAGAGTACTAACTCTACCACTGTAACCATCTATTTGCTTGTCCCTCCTGCCCCACCCATAATTTTGCATCCATTTTGAGAACCTCCGGCCAAGGGTCTTTCTTAGCTCACCAAATATTAGATACAGCAAGTACGAGAATCTATAGCACCACTTACTGTTAATAATTGCACAGCATGTTTTAGTGCGCCCTGAACTGGATGGCACAGGCTAGCCTGATTTCACCAGATCTCAGAAGCTAAGCAGGGTCAGCTCTGGCTAGCATTTGGATGGGAGGCCTCCAAGGAATACCAGGGTCATGATGCAGAGGCAGGCAATGGCAAACCACCTCTGAATCTTGCCGTGAAAACCCTATGGGGTCACCGTGTTTCAGTGCACTTCTTTCTTCTGTACAAAGAGGTTGCCACTGAAGGTGCTCAGTGAAGCAGTTGAAACATTACTGGGTCCTGCAGGAGGCATGGATACTTTTTAAAGAGTCCTTAAAAGCTTGAATAGGCACTGCAATACAGGAGAAAAGAAGCAAGAAGAGGCAGCATAATGTAAATCTGATAATTTTTCTCCATGAGATGATCCAGGTTATTTGGTTAGCAGAATGCAACTTGAAAAAGCCCTAGATCCTTGGAGGTCAACCAAGCTTGCCATACACTGAGGTATATACACAGGGCTCTAGTCGGGGGGGAGCTCTCAGGTACGGAGCTCCGGAAGAGAACCTCTAGGGGGCGGGGCGGTCACGTGGTGAAGCCCCGCCCCCTTCTTTACCCCGCCCTCTGCTTCGATCCTCATTCCGTTTGGGAATGAGGATGAAGCAGGAGGGTAAGTAGCCGGGCCTTCTGACACACTTCCGGTGATGTCAGGGGGTGTGGCCTTCTGTCACTTCCGGTGATGTCAGGGGGCGTGGCATATGCAAATAAGTTATGCTAATGAGTTATGCTAATGAGCTCCGGCAGCTCTTTTTCTACAACAAGACCCCTGTATATACATAAGCCCTTAGCTCTCAGAAATGGCAGCAGATTGCTGCTTTTCTGTCTTTGCAGATAACTTGCTTGTCTCCAGCCTCAAGATGGTCACTGGAGGCTTAGATAGGTCACAAAGATTTTCTTTTTAAATGACTGTAGGAAATGCAAGAAAAAAGGGATCCTTCCAGATCCAGTTCTGTTTACTTGTATGCTTAGATACAAGGCTCCATGGTATAATTTTTTTTGTTATAGCCAAAGTGAGTACTGATAACACATATTATGGGTCATAAAGTATGGATTAGTAGATCAGCAAAATGAAGCTAGGGACAGATGGGGAGGACTTCTCTACAGACCTGAAGAAAGTCTAAAGTTTGTGGAAAAATCTGGAAAAAATTGGGGTATTAAAACTCTCCAAAATAACAGAAATAATCACTGCATCTTTAGGGGGGGGGGGAAATGCCCACTGAGCTCTGTTGCCAGTCTGGAGGTTGCTAAGCCTCCCAGGCTTTGGTTTCTGTAAACCAGTTCATGGTGGGAGGGGTTTCAGGGGTGGACTCAGCCCTGGAAACGGTTCCCCCTGCCTCCATCATATCCCCAGAGGAGGACTCACTGGGGCCAGGCCTGGCTGGGACCACCAGTGATTCACTACCCGCACAACTTGGCTGGGTCCAGCAGGAGCCACTGTGCAGCTTGGTCACAGCCGCTATATGACTCAGCTGGACTTACAGGCAACTACTGCATGACTTTTGCAACTTGGACAGACTTTCTCTAGGGAGAGGCTACGAGGGGATGGGAAGGAGAGAAAGCTGAAGACTGGAGGGTAGATAAAGGCAGGTTTGGTGGACGGGTGGGTGGAAGGCAAGAAGGGGGGGGACAAGGGAAAATAAGATGCCCCCCAGAAAAATTGCCAGACTAGAACAAAAACAAACCAAAAGAGAAACTGAAGAACTATTGCAGTAATATGCAGACCAACTGACCTAATATTAAAATATGTTATATACAAAAAAGACACATTGTTAAACACAAAGTACAATAGTCACCAAAACATACCATTAGTCCTTTGCTTGTTCTCATGAGACTGTATCGGGCTGTGGTACATAAGCTGGTTTTCATTACGAAAGTGTGTTAAGCTGAAGTAAATGAGTCATAAGAATGTAAGAGTAGCTGTGCTGGATCAGATCAATGGTCCCTCTAGCCCAGCATTTTGTTTCATGCAGTGGCCAACCAGATTTCCCCCACAAGGCCACTGAACAGGAGCATGGAGGCCAAAGCCTGCCCCAGTACTGGTATTCAGAGTGTTTCTGTCTCTGAACATGGATGTTCTATTTAGTCACTATTGCTAATAAGCATTGATGGACCAAGACTCTATGAATTTGTGTAATCCACTAGTATGATTTTACCAGTAACCATTGCTGTGTCCTCTGGCCGTGAGTTCCACACTTCAGCCAGACTCCAAAAACTATTATTTGCAGATCCACCTAAAAAAGCATCCAGCTCACTAACAGCAGCATGGCAACATTTGGAGAACAAGCACACTTTGTGTTTGAGAAGTATATTTTTGTGCATTATATTTTGTATTACATGGTCTACCACTTATTGCAAGTCTTCCCTTCGTCTTCTGTATCATGATGTTTTATGTTAAACATTAAAAGGGCTGAGTACTTTGAATTCCACAGGGAAACCAATACTGTGTGGTGTAAGACAGGGTTTGTTAATGTAAGGGCCACATAGAATAAATGTCAAATGTTTGAGAGCTGCAAGACATGAACAAATATCACACACACATTTTTATTAGGAAAAATATGCAAATTTGCTTTTTATTAATATTAAAATGAGACTGCCAGAAATAAAAACAAAAGGGGTAAAAACAGATCTTGATCATGATATTTGTCCAATGATATGTATTTGTTTGCTAATGATATTTATTTGTCTAAGAAAAAGAGAGAGAGAGAGAAATAATAGATGGGGACGGGCAGGAGAGGCGGAAAGAAAACAACTTTAACTTTAAATGCATCCTCCAAGCCCCCAGCCCCCACCCCCGCGGCTTGGCTGGGAGAAGGGATTTAGAGACAAATGCCTTCTCCAAGCTGGCCGGAGGCAAGGGGAGGGCTTTGAGAAAGTATTTAAAGGGAAGATCGATCGGGGAGGCATGCCTCCCCTTTGCTTCCCCAGCCGCCCTGGCGGGAGCCACACAATATGTGTGAAAGAGCCACATGTGGCTCCCGAGCCACAGTTTGGCCACCCCTGGTGCAAAACATTTGACAAAGGGCGAACAGCCAAAGCAAAAACTTGACTAGAACTACCTCATGAGCCCTTGATCCAAAGTATTAAAAGAGGGCTTTTGTGCACAGGTAGTAGGCTTGAACTGTACAAAATGGTTCACAAACTTGCTTGAATAAATGATTGGGGACTGCGATCTATACTACTGTGTGTAGCTTATTGTAAGTAGGATTTTATTATGAATTTTTGCACTGCTTAATGTGTCATGTTAATATTTTCGCTAGGCTTCAGTTCTTTCTTCTTGTTTCCAGGCTTCGACAATCCTGACGCTTTGTTTATTCAATGTCCCATTTTGTTGCTTGCATTGACTCACTCTGTGTAACCTGCCTTGAGTCCCTATGAGAAAGGCGGACTATAAATAATGTAAATAAATAATTAAATGGCCATCCCCTTCACTTAACAGCAAATTTATACAATGAAGGTCCAACACTCTAGCCAGCAACCCACAGTGGACTCAAAAGTGGTACCAGGAAATCTCAGGCTCCAGAAGAAGGGTACTTGAACTACTTGTTTATGCTTCACTGTAGGTGTCCATGGCTGACCTGTGCTTGGTCCCTCAGGTGTACAATGCAGAGAGGTAAGCAACAACACACTATTTGGTTGGGTGAGGTTCCATTTGTTGCCCAAGAGGCATGGCTGGCAGTTTGCATTGAGGCAGATTCCCAGTTTCTCAGATGGTAATATTATAAATGTTATTCTATTAGGATTTTGTTTCCAGAACCTTGTTCCAAAGGTCACATGCATTGCTCTCTTTTACACATAGAGCCAAACACCGAGACATCCCTAGTCCCAGACCACTGATGTCAATTATCCTCTTGCATATGCTACACAGAATTAGGGAACTGTGTTTGCAACCCGATGTTAGGATCTATTGGCTAATGGAAAGAGGGGCTTGAGAGTTTGAGACATCTGTGTCCTTCACGTTCTGTCTGTGCACCTTCCACTGCATCACTTCCTATGGCTACTTGACCTTGTGTAATCTCTCAAGTCTTCAGCAAAGCCTTTCATGAACTACTCTGGATGGTTAATTTGCACCTGGCATGGAGCCACTTGCTGCTCCACTGTCCTGTCACCATTCAACAATCTCCCTCTCTTCTCCCATTCTACAATGGCTGCACAATCTAAGTTTTGGCCCCCCTGGACAAGGACACTCAGTTGTGTGTTTATCACCATGCTAATAGTAAGTGAAAGTTGGTAGAGGTTGTTTTTCAAAGGAGGAGAGAGAATTCCCTTTGTAAAGAAGGTCTTTGTACAAGCCCTTGACTTTACTTATTTCCAGAGCACACTGCTACGGTAGCTACTAAATTGTGTTTCTCCTTCTAGGTATAAAGTGGATCTTGCTCCGTACCCCACACTCAGAAGAATCAACAAAGCTCTTCTGGAGTTAGAGGAATTCCAGACAAGCCACCCATCCCGGCAGCCAGATACCCCTCCAGAACTAAGAGCCTAAAAGCTGTTTGAGTTTTGTACTGCTGACTTCTCTGTTCCTTTGCTGTTCTCTTCTACGTGGGAGTCCCTCTTTGGGGGCAGATTCAGCAAAGACCAGTGCTCTGATGCTTTTCAGCCAGCTTTTGGACAGAGTGGACGAGGCCATACTGTACTGGCATGGTATGCAAGTATGCCTACTGTGGAGCACCTTGTGTACATGTCAGCATGAAGCCAATTTAAAAGAAAAGAGCTTGTGAATGTCCTGCGTGAGTTCAGTTGCTGCCAGCCTGGGTGAGTCACTGTGGTGGGCAAGAGTGACTGCACCTTGACGGCATACAAATTTGCACACCGGGGGAAGGTTACATCTTGGGATGTGATATAACAGGGCATATGTGAGATGTTTTTGATTTAAAGTTAAAAGAAGAGGGTGGGTTTTCCCACATTCTCAGTTTCCTCACTTGTAAGTTCCTGTTTCTTCGAAGAAGGGGTTCTGTTCAAGATGTGTTTTGCTCCCTCTGTTGGTTGATTCAGTATTATACCACTTAAGACGGGCATAACAACCTGCAGATTAAATCTGAAGAAAGAGATGATGGACATAATAAACCAGTGTAATATCAAATCAACCACTAGAGAAAGCAAAACACATGTGGAACATTAAAACCCCCAACAAAACAGGAACTTGCAAGCATGGGAAATAAGAACGTGGGAAAGCCCTGTGTTTGCGGGGAGGAGATTTTGTTCCTGTAAATACTACTTCTCCTGTTTGTGCAGCAGAGACACAAAGCCCATGAGAGTGATTTAGACAGCACATGCGGTAGTTACATACGGATACCTACTGGGAACCTATGCTAAGGGAGAGAGATAAAACAAATGAGACTCCTGTACATCTCCACTTGCTACTTCCCAGTCAAATAGCTGCTTTTAAAAACTTAGGAAAGAGCTTGATCATAAATCTCCTGTGTCTTTCCATATACAAGAACCCTGCATATGCCAAACAGCTGCCATTGGGCTTATTGAGGAACTTCTATAAGTCAAAAGGTTACCCCAGTTCTAGTTAACAATTTATCCTTTGGGAGAAGACAAGCTGCCTTATTCTAAAGAACATAAGAAGAGCCATGCTGGATCAGACGAAAGGCCTATCAAGTCTGGCATTCTGTTCACAGGAGTGGCCAACCAGCTGCCTCCAGGAAGCCCACAAGCAACAGTCTCCTCGGGCCTGAGCTCCCCAGCATATACTGCCTCTTGGTACTGGAGGGGGTAGATAACCATTGTGACTAGTAGCCACTGATAGCTTCATGCTTCATGAATCTGTCCACTCCCCTTTTTGTGTGCGTGTGCCTGGAGGTCATGGTGACCTCTGGTGACTCCTACTGGGGGCATGGAGGATATTAAGAGAAGTGGCTTGATGGCCTGCCTCTGGCCCTGGTATTCTTTGAAGGTCTCCCATCCAAATACATGCCAGGGTTGGCCCTGCTTAGCTTCCAAGATCTGACAAGATAGGGCTTGCCTGGGCTACCCAGGTCAGGGCATCCACTCCCCTTTTTAAAGCCTTCCAAGTTGGCAGCTGTCACCAGATCCCATGATAGCGCGTCCCACAATTTAACTGTGTGCTATGAGAAGAAGGACTTGCTTCAGTGGATGACCCTGGGTTCTAGCATTATGGGAGAGGGACGAAAAGCTTCTGTTGCTTTACAGTGTACCAGCTGGAACACAAATGTTTTCAATTATCCCTTCTAGTAATTAGCGACAGCCCAAGTTCCAACCACATAGTCTTTTTTTTTCCCTTCTGAGAGCCAAAATATTCAGTCAGCAAGTACTTGATTCTAATGCTTCATTTTCTAAGATAACAGGGGTTAATAGGGATGCAATTATTTCACTTTTCCAGCAGGTGTATTTACAGCTGTGTTCTTGGAGCCCAGCTGGATGGGGAAATACCTGCTGGGGATAGGTTAAACAGCCATGCACCAGCTGTCCCTGGACAATGCTTTCCCCAGCTCTGTTCTTCACATTGAGGGAAACAGGGTTGCTTGTCCACAGTCCACATTTTAAAACGGCCAGATTTCTAGGTTACATTAAACAAGCATTCCTAGCCACATGAATCTTGGACTGTGTATTCAATTCTGGTACTCTCATACTGAATTAAAGAGACTTTTGCTGGGTTTTGTGTGGGAAGATGATGATGAACAGCATGAAGTGTGTGAATGGGATGTCATTTGGGGTCTGAGGACTGCAGCCAAGCAGTCTCTAGGGTCAAAGTCTTCCCCCCCCCCAAGTTTTGCTCTCCAGTAATGACAGTGGGAACAGAAGCAACAAACTGGCAAGTAAAAAGGAAGTTATTTATACCTCCTACACATAGCAAGTTTTCTTAGCAGTATCAGGCACACATTTCTCCACAGCATCAATTCCCCAGAGAATATTCTACACTTTTAAAAAAAAATCACCAGAAAAAGATAGATTCTGGGATTTATACAAGTTATGCAAGTGTACAGAATTTCTAAACTGACAGCACTGTCAAATGTTCAGGAAGCAGATCAGAAGATAATCTAGTCCAGACTGAAACAAAGGATCATTCCTAAACAAAACTCCTTTGCATGTGTGAAATAGTTTATTACACAATGACAAAAAGGGAAGAAGAAAGGATGTTTGCAAAATATGCAGAAATTAGGTCAAACTAACTGGCTGCGTAGAAGAGATAGTTGGGCAGAGAAACAACCCAGAAGACGCATACTTAAGCCATTGTTTCTACATGCTTAACAATACCTGTCCGGGCACTTTCAAGACATTCAACCCTCCCAGCAATAGTACAGGCTAAAAAAGAATACACAGTTTATCAGAATTTAGCTCAGGAATTACCACATACCAAGTTCCATAGGAGGATCACAACCCCATGGCTCCTTTAGCCCTTAATTAGGCAAAATCCTAAATCAACGAGCAGTTAAGGGGTTCAGGAGCAGCAACTGATTCAGTTAAGACAATAAAAAGTTTACATGAAAATTTACTTGATACAAAAAGGGGGGGGCTGACTTGTAGTCCTTATTTCTTTTGCTTTTATTCTACTGACATCCACTCTGTCTTTCTGTTCCTGCCTCTGCTTGGCCTGGCCTAGAGCTTCCAATGGCTCAGACTGGATTCTAAGAGGTTCCCTTCACCTCCCCAAGGTCCAGCTGAATTTTGCTGGTACTATTGTAGAACTTTCCAGCACGGTCAGAACCCCCGAAGACCAGTACTGTGCACAGGTTGCACTTGCCTCTGCTCTCCTTATCCATGTCTGTCAAGTGGACAGAAGTCAAGTTCAACAGCGTGTGGCCTGCCCGGGGTATCGAACAAAGATCACTGTGCACCACTGCATTCCATGTTAACGTATCTGCAAAGGAAAGAGGGGACAGGGGCTGGAAAACCTGTTCTTGGCCTGAAGGAGAGTGGTGCAGTGAGAGGTGGTAACAGCTCCTCAGTTACTTACCAAGGTGGAAGGTGAATGCATCCTGAAAGGCTCCCTTGGCATTACAACCCCCACTTATCAGCACTTTCTGATCAGATACTGGCATGGCAGCATGGAAACTGAAATCAGAAGACAGTACCTTTGGTCAGCACAAAGCCTACAAGACGGCCTTCCGGCGGGGGGGGGGGGGTGGCCATGGCCAGGATTTATGCAGAAAGCTACATGGATAACTGTAGCAAAAGGCAAAGATGCAGAGGGAGTTCTCCTGAAACTCTCTAATACATGCAAGAACAATCAGAGCAGAAGACTCCCCTCTGGATTTTCTCCAGCTCTACCCAAACTTGCATCACAGTCTTTATCACTCCCCCAGGACCTTACTCATTTATCTGTCCAGAAACCACAATACTTAAACATCCACTGCCACCCCTTCAAAAAAAAAAAAATAGCACATCCAATTTATAACTCTTCCTCTGCTCTGGCCCAGGTGTCAGGGATGCCCACCTGATCAACAATAGCATGCAATGACTGACGTGAACCAGGGGTGGCTTTCCCTTCTAGGCACTAGTATTGCTGCTAATCCCATAACCAGCTCTTACCTGCGAGCAGAAGGCTGACCAGAAAGAAAAGGAACTGACGTGTATTCCATGAAACCTGAGATGTCAGGAAGAATAATCAGGAGACGTTTCCAGATCAAGGATGCTGTAATAGCTGTATTGTTACAACCAAGGCCCCAAACATCATTTATTTCAGCTCAATATTACAGTGCTCCCCTTGGAGTGATAAAATTAATGGAAATTTGGAAACCATCGGGGGGTGGGGGAGCTTTTCTCTTTCTCACCCCCACCCCAGAAATGTTGAGAAAAACAGTTTTAATGCTACATTTGCTTTCTAATCAAACTTCAATCAAATACGTTTTAATGGCATAAAAGGCATTATTTATTAGTTCAGCATATAAAAACTGTTGAGGCGAGTAGTCGTGTTGGTCTGCAGTAGAAGAGCAAGGTTCGAGTCCTGCGGCACCTTAAAGGCCAACCAGGATTCCAGGGAATAAGCTTTTGAGAGTCAAAGCGCCATTCACTAGGTACCTGATGAAGGGAACGTTGACTCTTGAAAACGTATACCCATATAAAACTGCACTCTTGGGCTTATGACATTTAAGAGCATAAATGCCTTCTGTTTCTAAAAACAAAATTGCAGATATACTCAGCTGTGAACTGCTGGCCTTATGCTACTGAAGCGCACAAAGCTTTATCTTAGAGGTCAGAGGTCCCCACTAAAGTGAACACTGCTGCCCCACTACTTAGGCAGTCACTGCAAACCAAAGAGGCTATTGCATTCTCTATAGGTACAAGTTCTGTTGCAGGATCAGCTATCCTGCAATGGCCCACATGTGCTTTGAAACCTTCTGGAGAATCAAAGGCATTTCCCAGGTACTCCACCAAGGTAATCTCCTGTGCTCAGGCATTTCTCTTCTTCCTTTTATCCTCACCAGGCCTATCAGAAGATACTTGCCTAAAATGGACTCTGACCCAGACTCAGGCAGCTCTCAAGGAGGTAGGCCTTGTCCAGTTCTTACCTAGATCCAGGATGTGGGTATCATTCAGGTATGTAGAGTTCATCTGGCCCCCAAATATGATCAACTTGTTCCTCAGCAGGGTGCCTGAATGGCTACATAACAAAAAAGAGCACAAAGAAAGTACATGAAAGTGAACTATCGTGCAATCTTCAAAGCCAGAGATCTTGTTCACAAATTACATTAGTTCACACCCCTCAATCTTAGTGGCAGTCAGGGGGCTCCCACAGGGGGGAGGGGTTTCAAAGAAGCCTCCAGTACAATGGGGCCACATCAAAGCTAGGAAGATCTTTGGAAGAAAAACTGCCTAGCTCCCCCGGGCCCTGTGAAAATAATGATGACAGTATAGGAAGTTTTTAGGAAACTCCCAGGTTCCAATCACTACATCTAAGGTACACTACATCTAAGGTAGGGACATGACCTCAAAACATAGAATATGAATCACAAACACAACAAGCAGTGCAAAAAACATACATTATTATAAGGAATACACCAAAATTTTACACACTACTGCCTGAGTAAATAAGATCTGCTAGTGCAAAAGCAGAGAACATCAAGTCCTCTAAGAGTATGTTTTCCTCTGAACATTAACAAAGCCTCTCACAAGAAATGTATTAGACAAAGCCACTGATCAAAGTGCTGGCCGACACTTAAGAGACCTGGTTCAAGTTCCCATTCTACCATACACCTCAAATCACTCCCTCACTCTAAGCTACCTCATAGGGGCTGTTGCATGGACAAAGGAAGTGGAGAGAAGATAAGAGGCAAGGCACCACCCT